GTGGGACGCAGTGTGGCGTACACGTGCAGTTGTAGAAACAGGAGAGAACATGTAGTTAAAATATAATGCATATTATTCCCAATTAAACAAAATAATGGAAAGGCAAATGAAAAATGTCCATGACCCGTACGTCCCTGAAGAACGCATCGTATGTACGCTGCTGCGGTTGTTTGGTGGAGGTCCAACACAGAAGCCGAGGCGAGCGTTCACCCACACGCTCACCGAAGCGTTCGTCGAGTTCGTGCATGGCCTCATATGCCCAAATCTGTCCGGACGATAAGAAAATAGATGTTGCGGTAATATCCATCCAAACACTATAGAAGCATGGTCTAATACTGACAAACAAAACACATAAACATAATGTTGTTCCTACCTGCATGACGATCGGAAATTCGTAAATTGTTTAACTGACGTCCTTCTTGTTCTTCGTCTTCGCATCGCTCATTTTACATGCCCAAGTACCCCCGTAATCCCTTCAACAAACGCCTATACCCCACTTTCGCCCAGGGGTAAGCAAAAAACAGCTCCAGATCGTCCACGATGGCAAGTGTATCCTCATCAATGCCGACATTGTTGTCCGGAGCTGTGATAACTCCTTCCACAATTAGAGCAAGCCCGAGCTTGTATATATCTGCTCGGGGTGTCGACGCGCAGAGAAAAGCCTTCTCTAACTGGACACGTGAAATCTTCTCCAGCGATTTGAAATATTTTTCCTTCAGCCTCCTCTTCTCCAATACCTTTGTGTACTAATCGCCCTCTGGAAACGATCCAGCATGCAGTCCAGTGACGATAGCACACTCCTGCATTCCAAACCGGACGTTGAACCACAACTCATGGGACTTATCACAACGAATCCCTCGGCACACCAATGCCTGGATCAGTTGAGTGGAAAACTGGATCTCCGGAACGTCAGCGAGAAACCCAAGGCAGGAGTCGCGAAAGTCAGCCTGAAGTCAGTCGTCGAAGTTATCCATCACTATTTTTACGTACTTCAAGTTGCTCCGTTGCGAGATACACGCCGACAACCGTACATTCTTAGGCACCAGAAATTGAAATTCCATAATATTTGCAAATGAAACGATAATGGTTAGACCATAATTTCACAGCAGCTGACTATTACAAATTACAAGCGTACTTCCACGGAGCATACAACCACATCAATTGGAACCAGTAATACGAGAAACGTATAAGAACATATCATCTACCCAAAGTTACAGTAAACATTTATTATGGCGAATTGTGCTTGCAATATTCAACAAAATAAAATGTTAGCAAAAAAATTTTGTAATGTGCAAAAATACATGCGGTAATGATATCTGGATGTTTGACAGACATGTTGTTTCTTGACGCACATGCAGTGTCGTCTGTGCCCAACGTCATTTGTCAAGACACTGTCATCGAAACCTGTGTCGACAGATGACTGCACTCCGCCTTACAGTGGCATACATCATCTGTTGAGAATGCCAGCAGCTAACTGTCGGGAACGACAGTTCATCTGTCGAGGTTCAGCCAACTGTCGAGAATAACAGGAGGCAAATGTCGGGAACGACAGTTTTCAACATAAATATGGCATACGTATGCATGGTGCCCCAATCTACAAACTTGCGACATAACAGCGGAAAACCAGGCTTCCAAAAATTCACAAAACGCTTTAAAACTTAGATGTTACATATGCATGGTGCCCTATATCAAAATGTAGAACATGCCCAAATCCGGTCATCTCAAAAATCACAATGAAGGTGAAAATGTGGATATTAATTCTAGAAAGTCATTTCATAGCAGCCATGCAAAGTACGAATGTAAACACAACGAAGTAACCAAATAAAAAATGATCGTTACAGTAGAAGGCAAGCAAACAAGACTAGTTTACCTTTTATAACTACATCGAAAACACCAAATGATGCAACTGCGCACCGAGCAATCTAAGAGATATGCAAAGCAGCAAGTTGGTTTGTGAATATCTTGTGCGAGATAAATTCAATACATATTCGTACATCACAATAACAAGAGACAAGAAAGTGCTTTCACCTTGTCTAGTTATAGCAATTGCAAAGAGTTATGGACAGATATGTCTCTTTTCTTCGTCCACACTCCACAAAGTTTAGTTCTGCAACAACAGAAAGAAATGTTGCGCATAAAAAACGTATTGAAGAGGAGTATATATTGAAAATGCCACATTTCTTGAATACCAATCTCCAAATATTTTAATTATTACGCATTATAAACTGAAACTGTATATCAAGTATAAGCAAAAGTAATATTAAAGCTAATTTGTAATAGTCAAATCCCTTTTCCAAATCAGCCTACAGAATATTGATTCCTATAAGTTGCACCTAAAGAATTCATGGTTTTGATAGAGACCACAGTGCCGAATGCTGAAATGTGAAGCAAGGATATCAAGTTCACGACATATGTATGAAGAGAAAGTTCATATTCACACACGAAGAATACTGAAATCAAGAAACTAGAAATTGACATCATAACGCAACTAATTGATGCTTAAGTAGTTATAAAGAGAAAATACACTAAATGCTTACGGTTTCGCGTATATCCAATTCAATCTGGTATTCTCATGCAGTACTACTGTATTTAATTACCTAAATGAGTTTAATGACGGGAAAAGAACAGCAAGTGGAAATGATGATATTCCATCATGACCAGCTCCTTGCACGTTCAGGATTTTCATAACTAAGTTCTAAATCTCAACAATCTCAAAAGACGTGACCTTCTTTCAACAAACAATAAAAATGGTCCTCATTGAGAACAATGCATCTTTTCAGTTCCACCTTCAACCCTTCTTGGACTTATAAGTCCTAACTGGCAGAATTTGATCACTAGTCGCATGATGCAGCGTACTAGGAAGCTCCTTCTTCAGATAAACACTCAAATAGTTAAATCTTTACAATTCATAATTTTTAAATTTTGACAAGACATGAATTATATAGAAGTTGTTTCCTGCATTGGCATCAAAGTAGGGATATCTTTTGTATTGGGATTTTGACCCATGCTACCATGCAACTTATGCAATCAACCCCATACAACATGTATATTTGTGCACAATTGCCTTACCACTTATAGCATAAAACCAAAGCAAGAGGCAGAATTTGCACTAGTTATATTTAAAAGTAAGTATCAAGAAACAATTGAACATGTCCTCAAAAGAAAGCATGGGATACCCTCTGCACCAAGTGGACTCCTCTCAGACAGCCATGAGACTCATCGAATTCAATTAATTATAGTCCATTAACTTCTGTTGATGTTGTCAAACTAAACTCTGATGAATGCCTCAAAGGGAACTCAAATCTAGTTGTAGGTGGGGGTGTGATAAGAATCATGTAGGTAAGGTTCTCCTTGCATGTTATGACTTCTATGACTTATGTTTTTCTTAAGCTATGCGATCAATCTGGATACAGCCCAAAAATGGGCAGAGATTGATTCACTTTTCCAATGTAAAATAAATAAATAAAAATAAAAAAGGAAGGCATAGATGAACCTCAGAAAGTGCAATACTATTTAGAAGAAATTCACCACTGGGAGAGTAGACTCAACATTCAGTTTTTCCATATTTGGCGAGAAGGCAGTACATTTGCCTACCATTTAGCTAATACGGGGATACAAATATATAAAGTTCAAGCTTTCAATAACAAGAGTTAACTGCTGAGATTAATGTATTGCTTAGAATAGATAAATGTGGTTTCTCAAGCATAAGGATGTAAGTGACCTTAGTTTCTTGTTCCTTTATTCTCTTACTTGCAAACATAACTCAAGTATAGACTAGGTTTCTTTCCTAAAATTTTGTTATATTTCCAAGAAGGCAAGGTTCATTGAAGTCCAACTCCTTTGTAAAATTTAGCCAATCAATATACTAGGCGATGGGGCAAAGCCAACTCCCCATTTTGTTAAGGTAAGAGGCCTAAAGAACATTACATTATCTAGAATGGACTTCACCAAAAAATAAAAAAATAAAAATAAGAGGAAGAAGGTATCAAGGACCAAAAGCTCATTGAAAATCGAATAAGATTCATCTTATAGCAATTACAGATTTATAACAAGAATCAAGTAATATGGGACCTCATTGGAAAACATCAAAGTCGTCTGATACAAAGAAAACTTAAATCCATTTTACCATTATCTCAGGTCATTCAAGGGGAAGAAAAAGCATCTGATCAAACCGCATTCATTTTCAGCACAGAAGAATAAGAAGAAAACCAATCACAAAAACACATGGTAAAAATCAACCAAGATGTAAATTCCTGCCTTACATTCCGCAAGCTTAGATAGTTTTTGCGAGGTCTGGTGAATCCCGAGCCCGATCTTGGATGCCTTACGATTGAATTAACTAAAATAATATAATTTTTCTGAAAAAAAGGAAACATAATCTTTTCAACAACTGCCGAATATGGGATAATATATTCAGAAGAGTTAATAAACATAATCTTTTAATATATTTTCACAGACAACAACAATTTCACATCATCAACCATTTCTTTCTAATTTAAAAACAATAACCCACAAGCAATATAGAATATATTCGAAAAAGGGCTCACAAAATTGCTTTGAATTAATAAACAAGAAGACCTGAACTGTGTGAGATTGAATACTGAGAGCGACGCACAGTCCACAGACTCCACCGCCTCCGGTCGTCCAGCTGAGTTACTACTTCCGCTCGGAATGGAAATATGGAAATTTAAGGGTTTACTGTTTGCACTTTTCAGCCAGTTTCAAATGGAGTTTGGGACCTTGGGTGGATTTTAATCTGCCGATTTTAATTTCCTCATTCCGAGCAGTTTAGATACAATGGCTAAAGTATTGCTGGCAATTTTCTAATATTCAGTGGAATTCTTTTTCAGATTCGTTCACTTCATTGTGAGAAATGAGAGAGTGAGCGAGCGATTTAGGGTTCTTCGACTAGAGGATTGGTGCGTGTTGCTCTGCTTTTTTTCTTCAATAATTCAATTTTGTCAGACACTCTTTGAAAATTTTGTACAATTTCTTTGATCATGTATAGCAAGTGTGGAAGCGTAGAGGATGCAAGGTTTGTGTTTGATGAGTTGCCTGCAAAAACAACGGTAGGATGGAATAGTATTATTGCGGGTTATGCACTTCATGGTTATAGCGAGGAAGCATTGAGCATGTACTATGAAATGCAAGATTCTGGCGTCAAAATGGACCATTTTACATATTCAATTATTATTCGAGTTTGTACAAGATTAGCCTCGTTAGAACATGCCAAACAAGCTCATGCTGGGCTAGTTCGTCATGGTTTTGGGTTAGATATAGTTGCTAACACAGCACTTGTAGACTTCTATTGCAAATGGGGAAGGATAGAAGATGCAAGGCATGTTTTTGAGAAGATGCCAAAAAAGAATGTCGTGTCTTGGAATGCCTTAATATCTGGATATGGGAATCATGGTCGTGGAATCGAGGCGGTTGAGTTATTCGAGTGGATGATCTCTGAAGGAATGGTTCCCAATCATGTAACCTTTTTAGCAGTTTTATCTTCTTGTAGTTATTCAGGGCTATCTGATCGTGGGTGGGAAATATTTGAATCAATGAGTAGGGATTACAAGGTGAAACCTAGAGCAATGCACTATGCTTGTATGATTGAATTATTAGGCCGAGAAGGGCTTCTGGATGAAGCTTTTGCATTGATAAGAGATGCTCCATTCAGGCCTACTATAAACATGTGGGCTGCTTTACTTACAGCTTGTAGGATTCACAAGAATTTTGTGCTTGGGAAATTTGCTGCTGAGAAACTTTATGGGATGGGACCAGAAAAGCTATCTAATTATGTTGTACTTTTGAATATTTATATGAATGCTGGGAAATTGGAAGAAGCGGCTGAAGTCGTGAAAACCTTGAAGAGAAAAGGTTTGAGAATGTTGCCTGCATGTACTTGGATTGAAATTAAGAAGCAGCCGCATGCTTTCTTCACTGGAGATAAATCCCATCATTTAACCAAGGATATCTATGATAATTTAGATAACTTAATGCTGGAGATTTCTAGAAATGGATATGTTCCCGAAGGAAGAACTTTGCTTCCTGATGTGAATGAACGAGACGAGCGCATGCTAACTTATCATAGTGAAAAGTTGGCTGTTTCATTCGGTCTAATCAGCACTTCTGATTCGACCCCGTTGCAACTTGTTCAAAGTCATAGGATTTGCAACGACTGCCACAATGCATTCAAACTAATAGCCATGGTTACTAAAAGAGAAATTGTCATCAGGGATGCTAGTAGATTTCACCGATTTAGAGATGGAAATTGTTCTTGCGGCGATTATTGGTGATGCACATAATACTACCTTTGTCTGCCTCCTTACTGTCCAATTTTTTTTTCCAAATATAATTCTTGAAGATGTCTACTTGCCAGGTTGTTACCTTAGGACTTTGTTGCGAATGTCAAAATAGTCCTTTTCTTTTCGCCCTCAATTTCTTTTGTTAGTTTTCAATATCTCCTACAATTGATATTTTAAGCTTGTAACCTGCAGTAAATTACAATAATCTATTGAAATCAGTATTTTTTTATGTATGAATTTCTCCAGAATATTTTTCATGTTTTGTCCATGCATCTACATGTTACTAATGTTTCTGGGTTGCTTTTGTTCTCATATGCTTGTAGCTTGAGTACTTGGGAATGGTACAGAGCAAAAAATGTCATCAGTTCCACGAGATTCCAGTATTTAGTTTAAGTACACTTCCTGCTGGAGTTGTTTAAACTGTACTTCTTTTCCTTTTCCTAGTCGTGTTTTCTTTTTATTTACTTTCCAACGTTCTTATATTGTACCACGTAAAGAAAAAATTAAAATCATGTTCATTATACTGTAATCATCTATGCTGTGGGAGATCCCGAGTTTTGCTGGTGTTAGAAATTTACTGTTTTTTTTTTTTAGACAAATGAATTGCAGGTTTATTGAGCTAAGTTCACTTCTAGTTCCGAGCAGTTTGATTCCCGACTTTACTTTTTCTTTCACAAAATGAGTTTGATTTAAAAATAAATAAATTCCAAACTCTACTTATGTGTTGCTCCTTGCATACACCTGTAACGTTATTTGAAGCAGAGTTTTGCTATTATCTTACTCCAAGCTGTCTGAGATCCGAGTTTTGGATGTGTTAGATACTGTTTTTAGGAATTTATGGAATTTTCGGGCCATTAAAGATATCATTAGAGTAAACACAACAAATTGCTTGCTTGTAATCTGCTATGCATCTGTTTTGATAATGTGATTTTGTCTCGTACTATACACTTACTGAGATTGTAAGGCTAAATACTCTTAACTAACAGGGAAAGAGAATCGACATTGCAAATGCTCGCTATACGACTGAACCAGCAAGCGGCACTTTATCTGAAAAGCGGGATCTGAAAAGCGGGAAAATGCCTCAGTGGACAATGTTGATTAAACTTCTTTCAGCACTTTTTTTTTTTGTCAACTTATAATTGAAATTATTGAATCAATCATCAAAAACTTTTATCATTTATACTTTTTTGTTGCCAATAAGTAAAGCTACCCATTCCAAACTGTTGTCCACTGCAATGCTATGGTGTTTTCCACATTTCCTATTTGTCAGAATTTGTTCCCCACAAAAGTATGAAAACTTTCCCACCTCCAAAAGTAAATTGGCTTTTTCTTTAGACCAGTTAGAAATGAATTGTTTGAACAATCTGTGAAATTGTGTTTGGCTCTCAAATTGTTAAGCTGGTATGGTAGATGGTACAGTATTAAATCGGAGATACGGAGATCACTTTACTTGTTGGCATGGACAAGTACATGTGAATGCCCACTAGACGACATAAATTAGTTCAATCATCAGTTTCTTCAATCGATGCGAAGACAACTATTCCTATCTAAACAAGCCGACTCCTGAAAATCGTTTAGACAGTGATCACAAGGACTTTCATAGATATTTTTAGCGCTTGGACCACTACGAAGTGGCAAATGTCATTTCCTGCATTATTTCACTACCAACGGTTTATCGTCGGGGTTAAATATGTGGATATAGATTGATTGAATTGTGTAGAAATACAGCATCCCTGTTGCAATGTGCTGCATACTGACAATTTGGAAAGGACAAATGTCCTAGGATTTGTCATAATTACTGTGCTGATGATCAAACAACATGGTCCTACATCTTTATCAATTGGTTCACCTCTTTTTGAAATTTTGATTGCTATTGTAAATTGGCAATTGCTAAATGATCAGAATCAAAAATAAGTGACAGAAAGTAGAATATATAAGCTGTCATATTCGATGATCAATGATCAACAATGCTATCATCAGGTCATGCAGCAGCCAACCATTACGTGTGTCTGAGTTACAATTTTGAACACAAAAGGAGATTTATAGTGGTTCATCTTCAGGGTTAGGGTTGCGTCCACTTGTCGATTTTTACCATGACATGCACACACACAAACACAAAAAGTGGTCTACTAATTAATTTTTTAGATGCTAAGAATAATAGAAAAACAATATGCATGTATACGTGTCAAAACATAACCTTGAACCGAAAAATGGGCGTATGATTAGGCTCCACAACATTCGAGACAAAAATAGATAGCATTGATCTAACCATTTGCTTCCTTCTCATATTCTTTTATATGCAGTTCTTAAAATTGCTTGAATTATCAAATGTTGAAGTGTCTAATAGATAATGTGATTAAACGCATATTAGAACAAGCAAATGTCCTCAATTTAAGTCTCACGACGCTCATTTATAAAAGTTAAACTTGTCAAACCTAATCTAGACAGCACGTGGGGGAACGTGCCTCAACAACTTGAGCCGTTAGACGAGGTGTTAAACAATAGAAGCATATCAGCTTTGTAGAAGTACTGTTGCGCCAAAAGTATTGACAAGATTCTGCATTAGGCAAAGCACGACAATTAAGTAACTATGACGAGTTTGATTCGATTTTTTCGAATTTGATTAGTTCTTTGAAAATATAAGAAAATTTTGACATTTTATTGATCAATAAATTTTAATAGTTTTTGGTTAGTTAATTTCTTTCAAAATATTTTTTCCCCTCATTTTAAAGTTCACTAATAGAATATTTTGATAGAAATTATCATTAAGCAGGAAAATTATTGTTTGACAATGATGCACGACAGACAAATATCATGAAATTTATATACAGTGTCATAAGACTTCGTATTTAAATTTTACTCAACTTTCCCCCTTTTTTTATGATGAACCCGTATACATATTAAGAGGGTGTTTGAGAACCATTTTTATGTAAAAATACATTTTAGAATAGTAACTTGATGGGAAGTGTGTGGTTGAAAAATAAGGAAAAGTTTTAATTTACGTGTAATATTATTTTAATAAAGAATGTGTGGTTGAAAAGAAGAGAGAGAAAAATGCGTTTTGAAAAAAATGGGTACCAAACGGGGCTAAGATGCAGAATTGAGAATTACATTACAAAATCAAGGTATGGTGATACTAGTACATAACATACTATTTTTTTGTGACAAATTTTGGACAATAACAAGTTTCTAAGTTGTATCTAATCTAAACATAAATGTCATTCATGGAGAGAAAAAGTGGACCATTGCGTCCCTATTCCTAACTTGTGCTAGGCAGCATATACACATTGAACTTCAAAGCAAAAATAAGGAAAATAAGTACTGCTGCGCCAAAAGTATTTACAAGATTCTGCATTAGGCAAAGCACTCGAGCAAGAAACTTGTGAGTTTGATTAGCTGTTTAGGTGAATAATTGATTGTATTTTTTTAGTTTGGCCCTTTTTGTTCCCATACATTGTTGCCATTTCCAAAAGCAGGTGCTTTAAAAGGAGACCTAAAATATAGTAAAACTATGATTTTCTGTGCTCACCAGACCAATTAAAACAGTTTTTATCTTCCCTTCTTAATTTCTTTTTAATTTTTTTTTTTTTGGGAAATTGTATTATTGGTCCCCAACTAATTGTCCTAGTAGTCCCTAACGGTAAAAATGTGTAAACTTTGGTAAATTATCACACTTCCCTAATGAAACCAAGTCTCACTTCAAATTTCTCGGTGCTAATAAGAACGTTAATCTATACTTTCACAGTAATTTGAATTAAAAACTGATCTATTTTGTATTCTGCTGGCAAATCAAGAAAATCAAATTGTTGTAACATCTCAAATAGGGGACTGCTGCTGATCACTGATGGGACTAGTGTTTCTAGTAAGAGTCATCTTATCCAAACATGTTTCTTTTATGTAGGATTTCAGACATTGATAGTGGGTGTTTGGTTTATGTTGAACTAAAGTTAACAAGTTGAATACAATTGTATACAGCTTTGTTGTCTTTTTCTTAATGAATTTTGTTTACTTTTTGTTCTGATTCATTTGCCCTTTTAACCTCTATAAGGTTCTTAATTTGACGTCGCCCGACGCCATACTGAGGCAAATAGAATCAACTTGAGTTCGGATTACTATTTCTAACCTCAGGAGAACACTAGATTTTTTTATTTTGTGTATATTTTATATGCTTATACAATATACACTAATGAAGGAGTATGCTTGAAATGAGGGTGGATCCAAAGGGCACGGCTTGGGGTGAAATCATAGCTTGATTCTGGATCATGCAGGGTGGATTTTATTATTGTCATGAGTTTTAATTTTTGGGCAAAGTGTTCTAGCCCCTACATCAATTGGTATCAAAGTTGAAGATTCCATGTTCAAGTCGATGCCGGAGCATTCTCGCAGAGTGGATGGATAATTCAGGAGCATGTTTGAAGCGAGAGTTTGCTTGGGGTGGATTCTTGGGTCGGTCTCGTCATTTTGCCACCCTCTAAATGGAGGCAGCCTTAAGAGCTTCCTACCCTCTTTTATGTTTAAAATTTACTTAATCATGTATAGCGAAAAAATAAACATAATTTCAATTTTCACCAAGAATCTACTTTGTGTTTAGATAGAAATTATACATTTGTCGAATTTCACAAAACTCCTTTGCCTTTCTTGAACTTGAACAATCACAATTTGCAATCCACAGCTATCCAATTGTCCAGCCCAATAAAAATCCACAAAGGGAACAAGAATGGAAGAACTAGGGTTTTACTTTTTTTTGTGCTAACAAGAATAATTGTGTTCTCTTATAATTTTTCCAAACCCTAATAGCTTATTAATATAAGTCCAAACAGGTTTGGTCCGTCTCTTAAATTAATCCAATTCAATAATTAATTAATCTAATTAATTAATTTGGGGCTATTAATAAGCAACCCAATTAATTAATTGCCAACACTTGTTAATAAATTAATTGGTAAATATCATTCTTCTAGATTTCCTTTTGTGTGTGATCCATTAGGTTCTCGATTAGATATCTAACGACGTGAATTATTATTTTGATTTAATCAAAATTATTAAATTAAAATACCCCTTTTTAATTTATCGTCAATTCACATGCGTAGTTCCAGAATATATCTAGCAATGTATCAGAGCAATACATATGACTGAAAATGTCATGTGGTATGACAAAATCAAACTTGTTCGTTTACCATGAAACTATAATCACTTGTTCATTATGATCCGATCAATAACGAATATGGATACGTGTCAATCTCAATTATCGATCATATCTTTCATTCCACTATTAGGTCAATATAAGTCGCAAAACTCATTTTCAACTTATAAGTACACTTTGGTGAAGAATTTCATTATCAACTTAACTCAATGAAATGTAGATCATAATATTTTACTATCGAAGAATGACAAATTCTCTATTGATCATTCACAACCTTAATATGATTATTGATATACCGGAACGATGTCGTATTAACGACTCTTGGTGGAGCAACATCCAACATCATCTAAGTATGACTGTTCTCATATAAGGCACTATGATAACATCAAGTCAAATGATCAATTCCACTATCGAACGTTATAGATCAACCACTGACACTTAGATAATTATCCATGTGAAATCTCCCAACGAGTTTCCAATATTCATGTTCATTTAAGTGTCTCTACTTTTTAGCTCGTGAGATCAATTACTTACTTCACAAGTAAAAAATGTCATACTTAATGGTCTATCCGTAATAATGATATTCATATCTCGTTATTACTTACAATTATAGATTATTTAAGATTCAATCATCTGTAATTTGTATCTCACAATCATAACTCTTTGTAATTAACAAATCACTGAAACTTAAATATACGGACTTTGTTATTTAATATAATTTATTGGAATAGTGATTTAAATAAATAATAAATTTTACCAAAATAAATTTACTAAACATATTAAAAGTGTTTACAACCTAAATTGATTGGATTTAGGGTGTAACACCTACATTTTAGAACCAGAAATTGAAGGGCGGGAAATCTACGTCCTTCCTTGAAGGACATAGGTGCTACAATGGCCAAGACAAAGGGTCGCCATCTTGCATGGGGGATTAGCTAATCCCATCACCCTCCCACACATGAAATTAGACTAGGAAATGAATTCTTTCGTTAATTCAACAGTTGTTTAGGTAATAAGTTACTTTAATCAGTTATTGCTAACAGCATTTCAAACACGTAGTCTTTATACAAAGGACTACAATGAATGATAATACAGCCTCAATACATAAATGGATCCTTCATTTCTGGCACGAAATCTTAGAAAGTTTTCGGCTCAGTCCAACTCCAACTCGTCTTGAAATTTTAAGAGACCATAAATACAAACTCAAAAGCCTACTTTTGAGGGGAGAAGACGGTTCAAGAGGCAAGGAGACAAGATATTGATAAAGAGCACAAAAGACAACAATTATGAGAAGAATTCAAGCGCCAAATCAGTTTTTCTCATTCTTTTTGTTTCCATGTTCTTTATATTAGATTGGATTATGTCGTTTTTCTTATTCAAGAACTGATTTCTAGATCTAGGTTTGATGTAACCTAACTTGATACATGTTTGGATTCTAATATAGTTATTTCTTTTGATTTTTCCGTTTGTTTATTTATGTTGATTCTGCATATTGTTTTCAATTATTTGATCAATAGTTGAATGATTTGATACTTTAAATCTCAGTGCTCGAAAGAGGGGGATTTAAGCACAATTTAAAAATAACATAACCTAAATTTTGTAGGTTACGAAAGAAATTATGAAATCTTTGAGGCTTATTCCATTTAAGAATCACGTTCTTAATAATTTCTAGATTTTTAATTTGAAATAGAGATAATGAAATTAAAATATAGAGACGAGTTCTATTCAATACTCAAGAAAGGGAATAGAATAAATTTAGAGTTCTTGCCTATAAACTTTGGAAAAATTGATAGAAGTAACTATAAAAGTTAAAGAACATTGTTGATAGTACTATAAAATCGTTTCCTATGCTTTCTCATGTTGATGAATCTCGTATAATTTGCCTTGTTTTACTTGAAATGTTGCCACATCTAGGTTAGATTGTCAAATAGGAATTGTCTTTATATGATTTCTAATGAGATAATAAAAGTAGATTAGAAAGAGTCGAGACTATTTACGACAAGATTGGTTGATAAGGCATCATGGCTTGAAACAGGTTCTATTATTACTTAATATTCATTTGGCGAATGCATAGTCTTCTTTTTTCTCGCTCTCTCTCAAAATAATAATAATAATAATAATAATAATAATAATAATAATAATAATAATAAATAAATAAATAAATAATCCTCATTGGTGCCAAGCGTGAGGGTGTTCTATATTGATAAAATATTCATTTGAAAACAATCACTATATTACATAGTGGTAGAAGAGAGTACGATGACACGTCTAGACTTCAAACGGTTGGCTTATCTAAAAATATTGATTTAAAAATATGATCTTTTAGATAAAATAGAGACAAATAATTATAGTACTAATTAGGAGTTTGATTTCAATCCCTATGGGTTCGACATCTGTACTTGATCTTATATCACAAAATTTGACGTCGTAGACTTGCGGTATAATTTACATTGTGGAAAACATTTGACAAGTTTTTGGCTTCGGCCCATTAACTACAACGAACAATTCGATTCGATTAAGACTCCAAAAACTAAGCACATTGATTACAAGATTGGTTTGCTCAAACGATCATCTGTCTTGCAATGGCATGTTAAGGGATAAAATTTCACAATGAATAAAGATGAAAATATAGACCAACATATAAAGGTTATGATCCATCTTAAAATGGGAGTAATCCCTTAAGACACTCCCAGAAGATGGTGGCTCATTTAAGCAGATCGATCTTGAAATTTGTGTACACCTTTTTTTTTTTTTTTTTTTAGCCTTAATTTTTACTTCCATAAGCTTGGAGAAGAGATAAGAAGACCCTATAGAGAAAACACAATCATTTGTTCAACCCATTTTTCTCATTTTACAGATTTGCAATTCCAAGTCTAGATTATTGTTCATTCTGTGAAAGGGGAATCAAATACTTCAAACTCATCACGTGAAGTTGAACAAACTTCAACTCACTATATGGACTCAAAAGTTGTAGTTAGCATTTTTTAAGGTAGAAACTTTTGTCTACAAGATTGGCAAGTGATTTCCAAGCATCTTGAATCCATCTTTCCAACGGCCTTTTCCTTCATTTTCTCTGCCTTCTCAACCTCTTCTCGTGCTCGTTCCCATAGGGCCCGAGCACGAGCAAATTCAGACTCGGCCATCTCCATTTCTCTTCTCGAAAGCTCCCTCACACGCTCTGCGTAAGCCTTCTCCGTTGCCGCCAGTTGAATTTGCTCAGCCGCATGCCATTTCAAGGCCTCAATATTGCTAGAATCAAACTTCTTCACGTCACTGTAATCTTTAACTCTTCTTATTACAACACAATCTGATGGTGGCTTGAGTGGGTTGACACTTACTGACAACTGAAGGTCTAGTGATGGACCATCGAAGTGATCCCGTGATCGGAATTTAGTCGACGAATCCAACGGCCAGGATGAAGCCTGTGATGAAGAAGGTGCAGTGTGTGGATTAGTACTGGATAGTAGCTGCAGTTCTTTGAGATGTTCTTCCATTGAAGAAAATAATGTGAGGGACTAGGCTTACGCAATGTGGGGCTTTAAATAAGAATCTCATCGCAAGGGTACTTTCGGAAATTCTCATATTTCCCATGCAAAATGACTATACTATTTTAGCATCATTAGACCCATGATTCCAAACTTTGCGTCCTCACTCTTTAATCACTTACATTAGTACTTCATAAAGTTGGTTTACAATACATTGAACTCAACCTTCCTTAGAATTGTTTTTTTTTTGTTTTGTTTTTTTTTGTAATAATTTTTTAATTCAATTATAAGTTGGACGAGATATAAGTAAATATAATAAAGAAAGAAAGATGTACAACACATTTATCAGCTTGTTTGGGAGCGATTTTTTGCCCAAAAAAATGATTTTTTTATCGTTATTTCACTATTCTGGCCGTCATATTTGACTTCTTCTCTCACAGGTGGATCCCACTTTTCTTCTAACGGTCAAAAAATCAATTCTCAAAATCACTCACAAACAGGCTCATATATTTTTCTATTAATCGAACACATCAAACATGCATGTTCGTAGTTTCTTATGTAAGATTGAACAATATAAACTCAAATGTCATTTGCCAACCTCTTTGCTTTTATATATATGTATGTAAAATATTTATTATAACAAGTACTATGCACAAGATTTTAATTTTATTTTTTATTTAATATTTTTCAATCTTGTATATCATATCGCACAAGTATCAAATATATATCAATTTATCAAGCAGAATGAAATGCATACGAATTTTACCGAAAGATGATGAATTCCTAATTCCTATTGATCATGGAAAAAATTGAAGGGAGATTTAATTTTCCTATTTTATTTTTGGAAAGTATAACTATTTGTTTAATAATTGACTTAAATAATTGATTATGGAAAGGGAGATTAGTAATAATTTCACTTGCACGTGCAAAGTGCGTGATGTGGTTTGAGCCCTAAGAGGGCTTTTTGGTTAAGTGCAATTTTCTTGATGGATAGTAGGCCCCTAGTTGTCGGCCCTCTCGCGTTAAAAAGCTAGAGAAATTTGCACTGTCACCCCAATATATCACCCTAATTTAAGTTGGTCCTTGACCTTTAAAAAATTTATTATGCCCCTATTTGGTTCTCATTCTTTCCTCATTAAAATGAATAATATAACCGTTATTCATCACATCAAGCCACCAAATTTGAATTTTTATATCTTGTGTGGGACCCGTAACGATTTTATTTTTCAACTCATTCTTCAAAAAATGAGAGAAACGGGAGCTTAAATCTTCTTGTGATCCTCACATAAGTTTTGGTTTCCTAACTTAGATTGACATTTCAAGAATTTAAAGTCACGAATTTCCTAGAGAGTCGTATGATAATTTACACTAGCTTCAATACTTTGCATCGTTGAAGATTAATTGTGTAAGAAAATCAATTTACAATATTGAAGACTATCTCGTTACTAATGCAATATTGTGATTTTAAGTAGTGCAGTTTTCTATAAAAGCTATTAGCTTTTCTCCATATAAAGCCTACGCTTCTAGCAGAGTGGCACGTGGGAGGGGCACAGTAGGGTAGGGATAAGTGGCATAGGTGGGATGGTTGGGTGTTACTGAATTTTATACTTTGGATCACTCGTCTCTCATCATTTAGGATGGAAGATTTGTGCACAGAGCATCTAGTTCACACGTGCCGCCAGTTAGGCTTAAACCCAACCTTTTTTCTTGGAAACGAGGGTTAGGGGGAGAGAGTGAGAGGAAAAATATTTGTTTTTCGAACTTCTGTAGGTGGAAAGAAGTTAAAAAGTAATGCTGCATAATCAATTGAGCACGCTTATGCTGAAATTGAGTTTAAGAAAGTTTCTGTAGACGTAATGACGAAATATTTCATCAATTGAGTATTTTTAAGTTAAAAGTGAACTTCTTTTATTTACGTAGACAATTGATATTTTAAGCTTGTAACCTGCAGTAAATTACAATAATCTATTGAAATCAGTATTTTTTTATGTATGAATTTCTCCAGAATATTTTTCATGTTTTGTCCATGCATCTACATGTTACTAATGTTTCTGGGTTGCTTTTGTTCTCATATGCTTGTAGCTTGAGTACTTGGGAATGGTACAGAGCAAAAAATGTCATCAGTTCCACGAGATTCCAGTATTTAGTTTAAGTACACTTCCTGCTGGAGTTGTTTAAACTGTACTTCTTTTCCTTTTCCTAGTCGTGTTTTCTTTTTATTTACTTTCCAACGTTCTTATATTGTACCACGTAAAGAAAAAATTAAAATCATGTTCATTATACTGTAATCATCTATGCTGTGGGAGATCCCGAGTTTTGCTGGTGTTAGAAATTTACTGTTTTTTTTTTTTAGACAAATGAATTGCAGGTTTATTGAGCTAAGTTCACTTCTAGTTCCGAGCAGTTTGATTCCCGACTTTACTTTTTCTTTCACAAAATGAGTTTGATTTAAAAATAAATAAATTCCAAACTCTACTTATGTGTTGCTCCTTGCATACACCTGTAACGTTATTTGAAGCAGAGTTTTGCTATTATCTTACTCCAAGCTGTCTGAGATCCGAGTTTTGGATGTGTTAGATACTGTTTTTAGGAATTTATGGAATTTTCGGGCCATTAAAGATATCATTAGAGTAAACACAACAAATTGCTTGCTTGTAATCTGCTATGCATCTGTTTTGATAATGTGATTTTGTCTCGTACTATACACTTACTGAGATTGTAAGGCTAAATACTCTTAACTAACAGGGAAAGAGAATCGACATTGCAAATGCTCGCTATACGACTGAACCAGCAAGCGGCACTTTATCTGAAAAGCGGGATCTGAAAAGCGGGAAAATGCCTCAGTGGACAATGTTGATTAAACTTCTTTCAGCACTTTTTTTTTTTGTCAACTTATAATTGAAATTATTGAATCAATCATCAAAAACTTTTATCATTTATACTTTTTTGTTGCCAATAAGTAAAGCTACCCATTCCAAACTGTTGTCCACTGCAATGCTATGGTGTTTTCCACATTTCCTATTTGTCAGAATTTGTTCCCCACAAAAGTATGAAAACTTTCCCACCTCCAAAAGTAAATTGGCTTTTTCTTTAGACCAGTTAGAAATGAATTGTTTGAACAATCTGTGAAATTGTGTTTGGCTCTCAAATTGTTAAGCTGGTATGGTAGATGGTACAGTATTAAATCGGAGATACGGAGATCACTTTACTTGTTGGCATGGACTAGTACATGTGAATGCCCACTAGACGACATAAATTAGTTCAATCATCAGTTTCTTCAATCGATGCGAAGACAACTATTCCTATCTAAACAAGCCGACTCCTGAAAATCGTTTAGACAGTGATCACAAGGACTTTCATAGATATTTTTAGCGCTTGGACCACTACGAAGTGGCAAATGTCATTTCCTGCATTATTTCACTACCAACGGTTTATCGTCGGGGTTAAATATGTGGATATAGATTGATTGAATTGTGTAGAAATACAGCATCCCTGTTGCAATGTGCTGCATACTGACAATTTGGAAAGGACAAATGTCCTAGGATTTGTCATAATTACTGTGCTGATGATCAGACAACATGGTCCTACATCTTTATCAATTGGTTCACCTCTTTTTGAAATTTTGATTGCTATTGTAAATTGGCAATTGCTAAATGATCAGAATCAAAAATAAGTGACAGAAAGTAGAATATATAAGCTGTCATATTCGATGATCAATGATCAACAATGCTATCATCAGGTCATGCAGCAGCCAACCATTACGTGTGTCTGAGTTACAATTTAACACAAAAGGAGATTTATAGTGGTTCATCTTCAGGGTTAGGGTTGCGTCCACTTGTCGATTTCTACCATGACATGCACACACACACACACAAAAAGTGGTCTACTAATTAATTTTTTAGATGCTAAGAATAATAGAAAAACAATATGCATGTATAAATGTCAAAACATAACCTTGAACCAAAAAATGGGCGTATGATTAGACTCCATAACGTTCGAGACAAAAATAGATAGCATTGATCTAAACATTGGCTTCCTTCTCATATTCTTTTATATGCAGTTCTTAAAATTGCTTGAATTATCAAATGTTGAAGTGTCTAATAGATAATGTGATTAAACGCACATTAGAACAAGCAAATGTCCTCAATTTAAGTCTCACGAGCACTTGGGGGAACGTGCCTCAACAACTTGAGCCATTAGACGAGGTGTTAAACAATAGAAGCATATCAGCTTTGTAGAAGTACTGCTGCGCCAAAAGTATTTACAAGATTCTGCATTAGGCAAAGCACTCAAGCAAGAAACTTGTGAATTTGATTTGCTGTTTAGGTGAATAATTGATTGTATTTTTTTAGTTTGGCCCTTTTTGTTCCCATACATTGTTGCCATTTCCAAAAGCAGGTGCTTTACAAGGAGACTTAAAATATAGTAAAACTATGATTTTCTGTGCTCACTAGACCAATTAAGACAGTTTTTATCTTCCCCTCTTCATTTCTATTTTTTTAAATTTCTTTTTGGGAAATTATACTATTGGTCCACAGCTTATTGTCCTAGTAGTCCCTAACGGTAAAACTGTGTAAACTTTGGTAAATTATCACACTGACCTAATGAAAACATGTCTCACTTCAAATTTCTTGGTGTTAATAAGAACGTTAATCTATACTTTCACAGTAATTTGAATTAAAAACTGATCTATTTTGTAGTCTGCTGGCAAATCAAGCAAATCAAATTGTTGTAACATCTCAAATAGGGGACTGCTGCTGATCACTGATGGGACTAGTGTTTCTAGTAAGAGTCATCTTATCCAAATATGTTTCTTTTATGTAGGATTTCAGACATTGATAGTGGGTGTTTGGTTTATGTTGAACTAAAGTTAACAAGTTGAATACAATTGTATACAGCTTTGTTGTCTTTTCTTAATGAATTTTGTTTACTTTTTGTTCTGATTCATTTGCCTGATTCATTTGCCCTTTTAACCTCTATAAGGTTCTTAATTTGACATCGCCCGCCGCCATACTGAGGCAAATAGAATCAACTTGAGTTCGGATTACTATTTCTAATCTCAGGAGAACACTAGATTTTTTTATTTTGTGTATATTTTATATGCTTATACAATATACACTAATGAAGGAGTATGCTTGAAATGAGGGTGGATCCAAAGGGCACGGCTTGGGGTGAAATCATAGCTTGATTCTGGATCATGCAGGGTGGATTTTATTATTGTCATGAGTTTTAATTTTTGGGCAAAGTGTTCTAGCCCCTACATCAATTGGTATCAAAGTTGAAGATTCCATGTTCAAGTCGATGCCGGAGCATTCTCGCAGAGTGGGTGGATAATTCAGGAGCATGTTTGAAGCGAGGTGGATAATTCAGGAGCATGTTTGAAGCGAGAGTCTGCTTGGGGTGGATTCTTGGGTTGGTCTCGTCATTTTGCCACCCTCTAAATGGAGGCAGCCTTAAGAGCTTCCTACGCTCTTTTATGTTTAAAATTTACTTAATCATGTATAGCGAAAAAATAAACATAATTTCAATTCTCACCAAGGATCTACTTTGTGTTTAGATAGAAATTATACATTTGTCGAATTTCACAAAACTCTGCCTTTCTTAAACTTGAACAATCACAATCTGCAATCCACAGCTATCCAATTGTCCAGCCCAATAAAAATCCACAAAGGGAACAAGAATGGAAGAACTAGGGTTTTTACATTTTTTGTGCTAACAAGAATAATTGTGTTCTCTTATAATTTTTCCAAACCCTAGTAGCTTATTAATATAAGTCCAAATTGGTTTGGTCCGCCTCTTAAATTAATCTAGTTCAATATTTAATTAATCCAATTAATTAATTTGGGGCTATTAATAAGCAACCCAATTAATTAATTGCCAACACTTGTTAATAAATTAATTGGTAAATATCATTCTTCAAGATTTCCTTTTGTGTGTGATCCATTAGGTTCTCGATTAGATATCTAACGACGTGAATTATTATTTTGATTTAATCAAAATTATTAAATTAAAATACCCCTTTTGTCAATTCACATGCGTAGTTCCAGAATGATATCTAGCAATGTGTCAGAGCAATACATGTGATTGAAAATGTCATGTGATATGACAAAATCAAATTTGTTCGTTTACCATGAAACTATAATCATTTGTTCATTATGATCCGATCAATAACGAATATGGATATGTGTCAATCTCAATTATCGATCATATCTTTCATTCCACTATTAGGTCAATATAAGTCGCAAAACTCATTTTCAACTTATGAGTACACTTTGGCCAAGAATTTCATTATCAACTTAACTCAATGAAATGTAGATCATAATATTTTACTATCGAAGAATGACAAATCTTCTATTGATCATTCACAACCTTAATATGATTATTGACATACCCGAACGATGTCGTATTAACAACTCTTAGTAGAGCAACATTCAACATCATCTAAGTATGACTGTTCTCATATAAGGCACTATGATGACATCAAGTTAAAGGATCAACTTCACAAGTAAGAAATGTCATATTTAATTGTCTATCCGTAATAATGATATTCATATCTCGTTATTACTTACGATCATAGATTATTTAAGATTCAGTCATCTGTAATATGTATCTCACAATCATAACTCTTTGTAATTAACAAATCACTGGAACTTAAATATACGGACTTTGTTATTTAATATAAATTATTGGAATAGTGATTTAAATAAATAATAGATCTTACCAAAATAAATTTATTAAACATATTAAAAGTGTTTACAACCTGAATTGATTGGATTTAGGGTGTAACACCTACATTTTAGAACCAGAAATTGAAGGGCGGGAAATCTACGTCCTTCCTTGAAGGACATAGGTGCTACAATGGCCAAGACAAAGGGTCGCCATCTTGCATGGGGGATTAGCTAATCCCATCACCCTCCCACACATGAAATTAGACTAGGAAATGAATTCTTTCGTTAATTCAACAGTTGTTTAGGTAATAAGTTACTTAAATCAGTTATTGCTAACAGCATTTCAAACACGTAGTCTTTATACAAAGGACTACAATGAATGATAATACAGCCTCAATACATAAATGGATCCTTCATTTCTGGCACAAAATCTTAGAAAGTTTTCGGCTCAGTCCAACTCCAACTCGTCTTGAAATTTTAAGAGACTATAAATACAAACCCAAAAGCCTACTTTTGAGGGGAGAAGACGGTTCAAGAGGCAAGGAAACAAGATATTGATAAAGAGCACGAAAGACAACAATTATGAGAAGAATTCAAGCGCCAAATCAGTTTTTCTCATTCTTTTCGTTTCCATGTTCTTTGTATTAGATTGGATTATGTCATTTTTCTTATTCAAGAACTGATTTCTAGACCTAGGTTTGATGTAACCTAACTTGATACATGTTTGGATTCTAATATAGTTATTTCTTTTGATTTTTCCGTTTATTTATTTATGTTGATTCTGCGCATTGTTTTCAATTACTTGATCAATAGTTGAATGATTTGACACTTTAAATCTCAGTGCTCGAAAGAAGGGGATTTAAGCACAATTTAAAAATAACATAACCTAAATTTTGTAGGTTACGAAAGAAATTATGAAATCTTTGAAGTTTATTCCATTTAAGAATCACGTTCTTAATAATTTCTAGATTTTTAATTTGGAATAGAGATATTGAAATTAAAATATAGGGACGAGTTCTATTCAATACTCAAGAAAGGGAATAGAATAAATTTAGAGTTCTTTCCTATAGACTTTGGAAAAATTGATAGAAGTAACTATAAAAGTTAAAGAACATTGTTGATAGTACTATAAAATCGTTTCCTATGCTTTCTCATGTTGATAAATCTCGTATGATTTGCCTTGTTTTACTTGAAATGTTGCCACATCTAGGTTAGATTGTCAAATAGGAATTGTCTTTATATGATTTCTAATGAGATCATAAAAGTAGATTAGAAAGAGTCGAGATTATTTACCACAAGATTGGTTGATTAGGCATCATGACTTGAAATAGGTTCTATTATTACTAAATATTCATATGGCGAATGCATAGTCTTCTTCTTCTTTTTTTCTCTCTCTCTCTCTCTCAAAAAAAAAAAAAAAAAAAAAAACCTCATTGGTGCCAAGCATGAGGTTATATTGATAAAATATTCATTTGAAAATGATCGCCATATTAACATAGTGGTAGAAAGAGTACCATGACGCATCTAAACTTCAAACGGTTTGCTTATCTAAAAATATTGATTTAAAAATCTGATCTTTTAGATAAAATAGAGACAAATAATTATAGTACTAAGTAGGAGTTTGATTTCAATCCCTATGGGTTCGACATCTGTACTCGATCTTATATCACAAAATTTAACGCCGTATACTTGCGGTATAATTTACGTTGTGGAAAACATGTAACAAGTTTTTGGCATCGGCCCATTAAACTACAACGAACAATTCGATTCAATTAAAACTCCAAAAAATAAGCACGTTGATTTCAAAATTGATTTGCTCAAACGATCATCTATCTTGCAATGTCATGTTAAGGGATAAAATCTCACAATGAATAAAGATGAAAATATAAACCAACATATAAGGGTTAGGATCCATCTTAAAACGGGAGTAATCCCTTCATACACTCAATACTTCAAACTCATCACGTGAAGTTGAACAAACTTCAACTCACTATATGGACTCAAAAGTTGTAGTTAGCATTTTTTAAGGTAGAAACTTTTGTCTACAAGATTGGCAAGTGATTTCCAAGCATCTTGAATCCATCTTTCCAACGGCCTTTTCCTTCATTTTCTCTGCCTTCTCAACCTCTTCTCGTGCTCGTTCCCATAGGGCCCGAGCACGAGCAAATTCAGACTCGGCCATCTCCATTTCTCTTCTCGAAAGCTCCCTCACACGCTCTGCGTAAGCCTTCTCCGTTGCCGCCAGTTGAATTTGCTCAGCCGCATGCCATTTCAAGGCCTCAATATTGCTAGAATCAAACTTCTTCACGTCACTGTAATCTTTAACTCTTCTTATTACAACACAATCTGATGGTGGCTTGAGTGGGTTGACACTTACTGACAACTGAAGGTCTAGTGATGGACCATCGAAGTGATCCCGTGATCGGAATTTAGTCGACGAATCCAACGGCCAGGATGAAGCCTGTGATGAAGAAGGTGCAGTGTGTGGATTAGTACTGGATAGTAGCTGCAGTTCTTTGAGATGTTCTTCCATTGAAGAAAATAATGTGAGGGACTAGGCTTACGCAATGTGGGGCTTTAAATAAGAATCTCATCGCAAGGGTACTTTCGGAAATTCTCATATATCCCATGCAAAATGACTATACTATTTTAGCATCATTAGACCCATGATTCCAAACTTTGCGTCCTCACTCTTTAATCACTTACATTAGTACTTCATAAAGTTTGTTTACAATACATTGAACTCAACCTTCCTTAGAATTGTTTTTTTTTTTTTGTTTTTTTTTTGTAATAATTTTTTTAATTCAATTATAAGTTGGACGAGATATAAGTAAATATAATAAAGAAAGAAAGATGTACAACATGTTTATCAGCTTGTTTGGGAGCGATTTTTTGCCCCAAAAAATTGATTTTTTTTACCGTTATTTCACTATTCTGGCTGTCATATTTGACTTCTTCTCTCACAGGTGAATCCCACTTTTCTCCTAAAGGTCAAAAAATCAATTCTCAAAATCACTCACAAACAGGCTCATATATTTTTCTATTAATCGAACACATCAAACATGCATGTTCGTAGTTTCTTATGTAAGATTGAACAATATAAACTCAAATGTCATTTGCCAACCTCTTTGCTTTTATATATATGTATGTAAAATATTTATTATAACAAGTACTGTGCACAAGATTTTAATTTTATTTTTTATTTAATATTTTTCAATCTTGTATATCGTATCGCACAAGTATCAAATATATATCAATTTATCAAGCAGAATGAAATGCATACGAATTTTACCGAAAGATGATGAATTCCTAATTCCTATTGATCATGGAAAAAATTGAATGGAGATTTAATTTTCATATTTTATTTTTGGAAAGTATAACTATTTGTTTAATAATTGACTTAAATAATTGATTATGGAAAGGGAGATTAGTAATAATTTCACTTGCACGTGCAAAGTGCGTGATGTGGTTTGAGCCCTAAGAGGGCTTTTTGGTTAAGTGCAATTTTCTTGATGGATAGTAGGCCCCTAGTTGTCGGCCCTCTCGCTTTAAAAAGCTAGAGAAATTTGCACTGTCACCCCAATATATCACCCTAATTTAAGTTGGTCCTTGACCTTTAAAAAATTTATTATGCCCCTATTTGGTTCTCATTCTTTCCTCATTAAAATGAATAATATGACCGTTATCCATCACATCAAGCCACCAAATTTGAATTTTTATATCTTGTGTGGGACCCGTAACGATTTATTTTTTCAACTCATTCTTCAAAAAATGAGAGAAACGGGAGCTTAAATCTTCTTGTGATCCTCACATAAGTTTTGGTTTCCTAACTTAGATTGACATTTCAAGAATTTAAAGTCACGAATTTCCTAGAGAGTCGTATGATAATTTACACTAGCTTCAATACTTTGCATCGTTGAAGATTAATTGTGTAAGAAAATCAATTTACAATATTGAAGACTATCTCGTTACTAATGCAATATTGTGATTTTAAGTAGTGCAGTTTTCTATAAAAGCTATTAGCTTTTCTCCATATAAAGCCTACGCTTCTAGCAGAGTGGCACGTGGGAGGGGCACAGTAGGGTAGGGATAAGTGGGATAGGTGGGATGGTTGGGTGTTACTGAATTTTATACTTTGGATCACTCGTCTCTCATCATTTAGGATGGAAGATTTGTGCGCAGAGCATCCAGTTCACACGTGCCGCCAGTTAGGCTTAAACCCAACCTTTTTTCTTGGAAACGGGGGTTAGGGAGAGAGAGCGAGAGGAAAAATATTTGTTTTTCGAACTTCTGTAGGTGGAAAGAAGTTAAAAAGTAATGCTGCATAATCAATTGAGCACGCTTATGCTGAAATTGAGTTTAAGAAAGTTTCTTTAGACGTAATGACGATATCAATTGAGTATTTTTAAGTTAAAAGTGAACTTCTTTTATTTACGTAGGAGTGTCTACACCTCTCACATGGTCCATTTATGTACATACGGGGCTAAGACCATTTTTTTTTTATTTTTTTTTTATAAGATTGGACAAGAAAGCCTTGTAAATTGGTTCGTATAGTAAAACAAGTTACAAGATTGGAAATTTCTCTTTAATTTTACTTCATAAAGTATATCAGGATTTATTTACTTCAGTTCATAATTTAATAAGGGACTTTACTTTTTATATTTCAAGTCAGCAAGAAAGTACCTCAAGATTCAATTACACCAATAGAAAGGGAAAGAAAGGAATACGTTGTTGCTAAATTTAGTTGGTGACACAACTTGTAGTTGATAATAGATGAACTTAGCATGTGACCGAGTGATACCTGAACCCAAATCCATATATAATAAAGAATAAACAACATTTTAAAATTCTTTTGCAAAGCTTTTTAAAACTATTTTAGTTAGTTTGGACAACATACACCAGAAATCTTAATAAATAAAGCAAGCTAATATGTCGCAGAAAGTTAGAAATGGTCCACTACTTCGGTGACACTATTTCAGTATTTCTTGTCAACCTCGGCTAGTAAGATTTCTAACCGAACCATGCTATGTGTACACTAAGTTTGACATTATTCTTTATATTGTGCCACGTGGTGACATCACGTTGGACAGATTGACACACACACACTCTCTTTCTCTCTCTCTTGCTGCCAACACTTTTTTTGAAAACAATGGAATGTCAACAACAATGCCAAACTTTTAATATACATCTAACATTGTTGTTTGTAACCTTGTAATGCAATGGAAGGGGTTCAAGGAGTCATATTTATTCGACAAGATACGAGTACAAAATTTCTTGGTACCTACCCAAAAATGTTCGTACATCAAAACAAGTTGCCTAAACTTGGATACATGTTAAACACGAAGATAGAGGGGAAGAACAGGGCTGTTTTTCGTCGCTAAGGCACATTGGAGGTTGAACACTATCGTGGCCCTGATGAGATTGAATTAGAGGAGTAAAACAGCATAGCCCAGCCTGATTTGACTTATTTAGCCCCTGTTTGGTGGAAATTAAAATCAAATTTGCAATAAATTTTGATGAAAATTAATGAAATGTATGGTTGAAAAGTCGTGGACCCCATAAAACACGTTAAAATTAATTATTGAGTTTGACATAACTTAAAATCTAGATTTAATTTCTTCCAAACAGGGACTTAATAAAGTGAACAGTATTGAAGAAGAAAAGTCAGCTAAAATCATGCTTATTGTAATACCTAGTCCAGTGTGTCAAACATCACTAGAAACTTGTAATTGTCTCCTTAACTTAACAGACGCTGCAGAACAAAATTAAGCCCCAAAAATGCTGCTCAAAGTCCTTCTACAACACCAAAAACTTCATTCACAGAACTTCCCGAAACCTCAAATCATTACTTGTAGGAGATTCAGGCATTCAGCCACACGACCTTGCACTAGCTAAAGGAAACCAGATTTGATTACTTATTATGTGGTTCATTAATTATAAAGAAGTAGAGACATATATTATACATGGATTGAATTAAGTAGATTTTCTTTGATACTTCTACTATATTTGAACATTATATTTTCCTAATTGACGGCACGTAGATCGGTAGATGGGAAACAAAACAAAGGCAGGAGCAGCCTTCATCAACTTAGGAGGTTACTATACCCTTACACCATCTCCAATTCACAGGAATGCATCTATAGATCAAAAAACCTTGCATTCTATGAGTCTATAACTTCACAGCACATCCAACGGTGCAGCAATCAGCTCAAGGTTCAGGATGAAAGCAAGGAATTGATGAATAAAACGAAATGTTTGTACAGAAAAATTCACCTTTACATGAAATAGCTAAGGGATTTCTTCCGTCGAGAGCCCCCGTCGCCATATAGTTCATTCCACTGAAGAAGCTCGGTCATGTTTATAGACTCTGATGAAACACTTGCACATACCTACGCCCACAATCAAAAGTTCAGCTTAAAGGACAACCAGGAGCATGTTTCGATAGGATTGAAAAAAAAAAAAGAAGTATCTTTAGGAAAGTGAGTAAAGACTCATTTAGAAAAGGAATTTTTTTAACTTAAAAGTCCAGAAACAAAGTAACTTTCAGAAAAACTCAAACCCATTTTTCAAGAAAAATCTTCTATGCTATGCCATACATCATAAACAAGAATTTTCAAAAAATAAATAAATAAATAAAAATTGCAATTTTCGACTCACTTGCTCATGAGCAAATCTGAAGTCATCTATGTTCAATGGCCGAATATCAGCACTCCCCATCAAAGCTGGCAGAGGTTTACCTTCTTCAAGAGCAGCAGCTTGATCCTATCATTATCTCTAAATGTAAGTCGATGGCTGTCATTTATTGCTGATAAGCAATGACAATATGACATTTTCTTCAGTAATTTTGATCTGAAGAGAATGCCATGTCTATATTCATGATTCACGTTGCCTGTTGGCAATCAACAAAAAAAAGAACTAACATCTTAAGGACATAGTTTGGTAAAACACCGTACCAGCTTAAAAAACATGCCCCCAAAAGGTACAAATTATCATTTCATCCCCTTGAAAATTGATGTTTGATGTTTTAACTATCTATTGAGATTGATCAGCAGTAAAGCTCGTATAATCCATAGTAAACATACCTTCTTTTCCCTTTTCAAAAGTTCTCTAATTGGACGATGTGCAGCCGTAATGCATAAATTCTACAGGATAAAAATTGAATTACAGAAAGCATAGATCCTCAAATCATGGACAAGACTAAAAGAATATTGATTCTCCAAAAGAACACAACCTTTAGGTCACTTCCAGAATATCCATTGGTCATACTTGCAACAGAATTCAGATCAACATTAGGAGACAAGTCCTCCTTTGCGAGTATCACTTTCAAAATCTTTGCTCTATTAGCAGCATCCGGCAAGTTGACCATCAATCTAAGGTATAACACAACAGAAGCAACAACATCAGAAAAATAATGAAAGTTTCACAACTGAAGTAAGAAATGCAGAAAGATTCCTCATATTGATTTACCTACGCGGAAGCCGTCTTATTACAGCCTCATCAAGGTCAAATGGCCTGTTTGTGGCAGCAAGCACCAAAACCCGTTCTGTATCTTTTGTTCTCAGTCCATCCCAGTTCACCATGAATTCATTTTTCATTTTACGCATGGCTTCATGCTCTCCTGGGCTTTCCCTCCGGCCAAGCATGCTATCAACCTTTTAAGAAAATAAAAGCTCACAAAGTCAATCTTATGTATAAGATTCAAATTAATAAATATGAAAAACTGCACCATTGGTTCTCAACCTATTATCCAAGTAGCAAGTTAGTCCCCCAACATTTAAAAAGAAGCAAGTTGTGCTCAACTTAATATTGTAGTGCATAATCAATCCCAAACAATGAATATCATCCAAATCTCTATTAAACCATGTAGTGTCCCTCATATGTCCAACTTTATGAAGCTAGGTTTTATTCAACTTGGATTGGTTCCTAGAAATTTGAGGAGAGACAAGTTTCTATGAAGGTCACATGACGATATAAAGAAGATTTAAATGGCTTCTGTGGTTGGTATGTGACAGTGCAATTATAATGAAATGTTAAGAACTAACTCGATTCTTTTTAAAGTTTGGGGAACAATGGCATAATTTTCCCTAAATAGATATGCACGGGTTTAATTGTACAAACATGTAATGTAGGCATACCTCATCAACAAATACAATACTAGGAGCAATTTTGCTTGCAAGCGAGAACACAGCCTTCACATACTTCTCTCCCTCACCAAACCACTGCAGTAAGGGAAAACTGCAAGTTAAATATATAAAACAGAATCATCAAATGATCTCATAAATAATTATCAAAAAAGCACCCTGATGAATCTACCTTTGAAGAAATGCTCGACATAGAAATGTTGATGAAGTTAGCACCAGCGTCAGTGGCAACAGCCTTTGCAAGCATGGTCTTTCCTGTTCCAGGAGGGCCAAAAAAAAGTATACCCTTGCAGGGCTGCAAATGAAAAATAAATAAAATTGAATTGAGAGGTTCTTTGGGCACCTAAGATGACTTCTAGACACATTGCTAGAAAGCAGGCAGAAAATACTAGAAGCTCAGAGTAGGCCAGAAAAATGGCATTTAGGAGCACGGGAGAATATCTGCCCAGTGTCAACCAAATATCAGAAAATTTTGCTCTTGTTTTAAACTACTGAAGCTCGTAAGCAAATGTGCAATAGTCTTAATCATGAGACCATTTCAATATATAGGATAAACTTGGGGCTAAATATATTCACACCACAATTTTTAATAACTAAACTACATTTTAATTATATGAAAGGCTCATATACTTTACACATCATCACATTTATGTCTCTAACTTTTTTTATCGCATTCTTATTTTCAAATTAACATAAATTACTCCTGATTATGGTTTCGCTCCAAAATTTTCTTTAAGATAAGAGTAAAAAGACTCATTTATCCATTTTATTTTTGAATAAGTGGAACAAATAATACTGCAAAAATGTGATTAAATATTTGTCCTCGTTTTAAAGAACATCAATAATATTTTTGGAAGAAAATCATGATAAAGGGCAAGATTTTCTTATCGTTAAAAATAAGAATGCGATGGAGAAAAATGTTGATATAAGTGTGATAATGAATAAAGGTTAATGACCTTTAATGTGATTAAAATGTGGTGGGAATATAACCACCCTTAACTCAGGGACTCATCTCAGTTTTTAATTAAAAATTGATATCATATATCATGGGAATTAATTTTTTATGGGGGGAATGCAAGCAGAGATAAAGTGACCTATAAAAGCAAGATAATTCGCGACTAAGAAAATAACATCAAGAGAGATCACTATATAAGTTTCCTAATACAGATGTTAAAGAGGGGACAGTAATATGAGAAACAGAAAAGGAAAAGAGGATACAGTTAACCAAGACAATTAAACAACACAAAGAATATCAAACGAACACTCATGCATTTTGTAACTTAAACTCTCCATCATGTAGAGATGTTAAAACCTTGGTCAATTGACCCTTGCAGAAAAGTTCGGGCCTCTGTAAAGGAAGCATCACCAGCTCCTTCAATGTATCCTTGACATTTTCAAGTGCTCCAATAGCGTCAAATGTCACACCAATATCACTGGAAGCGATAACATCTGCCAGAAGCCTTTTCTCGAACTCGTTCTCCGTCACAACATCCTAGGTAAGACAGAAAAAGCAAATCTATAAGCCTCTAAAAATATGGAGCAAGTAATCACAATAAAATATGTCCAACAAAAGTCTAAAGTTCAATAAAAAAATTCTCCGATGTCAAGAAATGCGAGTATCACCTTAAGAGACTTCTTTAAACTTTTGGATTCATTCTGGATTGCTTGCAGTATTCCTATCCCATACCGGATACTGCTCAAGTGTCATGCCAGTTTAGTTCCAATAACTAATTTAGTTAGCCATCCATAAAATTTTAAGTGGCTACTCCTTTTACCTCTCAGTAGATAAAACAATCTTGGCGTCTGCATCTGCATCTGCATCAGCTTCAGGGTTCCTTGTCAAGTGATGACATAAAGCCCATCCAACTACCTTTTCGGCACCTTCAAAAGGTTTCAAAAAACTATGTATTCAATTCTTGTTCACCCATTCTGGAAACTCAATTGTTTGACGAATCAGAATATTTGTCATCTAACACAGGGGCAAAAAGTTACTCTCATTTGTAAGTGTCTGATCTTTAATGCACGACGTATCAAGTCCATCACACTCCATATCATGAAGACTCAGGACCTATATGTAAAAACGTGAAGCAATTCAACCCGCAAAATATAAAGTGAGTCTCTGCATTGCTGTGCTCAAATATCGTAAAGAAATTACAGATGCACGAACTAGTAAATTCAAAAAAATACGGGTCACTGGAATCTTCTTCAGCATTGTGTTTTTATATAGTTCTAATGAACAGAATTCTGCCAAAAAATAAGAAATAAAAAGATCCACGTCTGGAGTTATTTGGCATGCTCAGAATGATAAAGGATAACTGGACAAGCATCAAATTCGGACTGAATAACAAAATATGCTACAGTTATTGTTATGATGAAGAGGATCTCTCACATTTCTTAAATTGTTGAGATTTGCTTTCAGTTTTAGGGTTTCAACATCTTGTTCCAATTGCTGCTTCCAACTAACTAGGAGTGCTTCATCCTACAATGGCAAGTAAAGTATCATTACATAGTTTAAATGGCAAAAGGCCATAACACTCAGAATTTCAGGAACAAACCTGAGGTGCGTGAATGGTCACTTTATTGAGGAAAAGTTTGGATAGAAATTTGGTTGCCTTGGAAACGTCCTTTCCTTTGTCATGCAATCTCCCCAAACTATCCTGTGGTAATAAAAAGTAGACCATGTGACTCCAGTATGCGAACAATCAATGCAGAGAACAATAAGCTACATACAAGAAATGATACAAAGTGCACATTCATAATGATCAGATCTATTAAGAAAAGAACCAACACACACATCAGACACCTATACACAACCTCATGAAGGCCGAAGTTACATACATAACCAGATCCAGCAAGGACACCTCAATTGGTGTAAAAACTTCGATGGTTTCCAAAGGCACTTCTGACCCAATGGAATATCATTATTTAAGAGATTTAGTACAATGCAAACCCTTTCTGATAAGTTTACTCTTTTCACAGGACAAATCATGTGGTTTCCCAAACCCCACTCCCCCACCAAAAAAGAGAAAAAAAAAAAAAAGAAAAAGAAAAAAAAAAAAGTTTTATCGTGAGGGAAAATCCCGTGATAAATTAACAATAATAATAAGAGAAACTAATGTCCAACTTGAGAAAGATTCTTTAGGTGAGACAAATAAGATACATTAGCAAAGTCAATGCTGTGGCACACAGATAAAAATTACATGACATAAGATTAAACTGGCTTTGTTCTGCAAAGCACAAACCACATAGCAGGATGAATATTTCAAAATATGACAGTAAAGAAAGAGAGCTCCTTACAGGGAAAGCCAAGTCAAATAAAGCTGTATGATTGCTGCTAAATTTGGTGAAAAGCAAACTGCTAGGATGTAACTGCACGATGGAAAAACTATCTTCAGTTCCTACTCTTAACTAGATGAGACAAGATACAAAATGCACTTAGACTCCATTTTAATTAAGAACCAAAAGGTGTTGAATTCCAGAACATGCAACTTCAAACCAACATGAAGCAAGAAGATTTCTAAATGTGAATAATGTGTATCATAGATAAGATCAAACAACAAAACAGTGGCAACAACTCATCCAAACAACACTACCTTTTCTTTACGATTGTCATTCTGAGTGTGAGAACCAATAATGACAACATTATCAGGAATCTTCTCCAGCTTGTTTCTAAATGTTACACATAATCCGGAATTTCCAGCCACAGATTTCTCAGCATCTTTCAAGAACAGTATGAAGGGGGAATCTCTGCTCACCTCAAATACAGTCTAGTAATGGGGAGTAAAATTAATTGTTAGATACAAAAGTTCAATGAGCACTCAAAAGAAATCATGAGGATATAATTTATTTGAACATATTAATAAGCCCACCTCAAACATTGTGTCAATGAGTAACTTGTCTAGATCCTCCACCCCTGAGGTATCCAAGCAGAGTTCAGTGGCTGGAGAGTGGAAGCAAGAGAGAGAAAAAGTGATTGGAGAGAAGGGAAATTAGGAATTTTCCATTGCACAAGAGTACACTTGAATTCAAAAATAAAAGCAAGGCTGCACATTACCATTGCAGAAGAATCCATGACCATTATCACATAGACCCCCTAAATCAACACCATCAGGCATGGATTTATCGAATCTCACACCAATTTTTGACGAGGAATTGTCTTCAAATGGTAATAGTACCTTTCCTCGCATTCCAGGAATTGGGCCCCTAATGATGCAGCTAAGTGTTATTTCACAAACGTTGAGTTAACTCATATTGCACCTTTCTTTGTTATAAGATCATACTAAAAAGTTCCAGAAAAGGGTGCAACTGAAATACAACAGATGTGATCATAAAAAATCAAACCCCCTTTAAAACAAAACAAGAAGTAAATTACCTCATAGACCCTATATAAGATGCCAAAGTAACTTTCACAAGAATATGCTTAAAACGTGTATATTCTACTTCTGCGGCCAGTTAACAAGTGCCTAGTGCCAATTGCAGCAAAGTAACTAATGAAATCACTTGAATTAAACATAGGACCTAACATAGATTTGTTGTTTCTCAAATAAAAGTCACTAGACCTTCTGGAAGATTAATTCATCTTCAAGCATTCATTGTTGCAGTCGCATGAAGAGGTTTTAGTAACAAAATGACAGGTTAGCATCTGAATATCTCTGATCGTGCTTTCAGCCCAAAAAAAAGGACTCAAGAGAGTCTCTTTCTTTCCCTCTATCCCCGTCTCCTTTTGTGGGCTCAAAAAAACCAGAAAAAGAGATGTGAAAGCGAAATCAGCTGTTGTAATTAATAAGCTGTCACTACAGAAAAGGATATACACATGATCTGCATGCCAATCCAGAGAAATTAATATCTTATAAAATTAGTAAACTTAATGGCATGTTTCCCATTTATACATCTACAGATCAGGATAAAGGTCACAGGAATGCAAACTCCCCCCACGCGTTCAAGAAATCTGTACAATGATGTACTGGTTTTCCCCATTATTCATATCAATTATGCATTTTGATACATTTTACTGACAAGATACAAGACAACTCTAAAATTAACAGCGAATAGCACTGCAAAAATTCGTCTACTGTAAAAACTAACACCTAAAATTTGCGCAAAGAATATGCACAAGTGAACCAGTTGCCCTTTCAGAAAATATGAAACCCCAGTTTAAAACAAGGAAAAACACATCTAGATATATATTAATGGCATGCTACTAACCCACTTTGAAATTAACAGCTACTACTGCAGGAGGCCATCTACTATTAAAACCACCACCCAAAACTTGCATCAAAGAATTGACTTTTACTAAATGAAGAAACCTGAATCCAGCATCAATTACCAACAAAAGTTTCTATTAAAAAGCCTATTAATAAGAAAGGTAATATATTACAATATACCTGGCAGAAGTTGAATGCAAACCTCCAGAAGCTGGACCAATGAATTTAACTCTATCGCCTAAAAATTTATCAACACGGAGATATACACGGAGACAAGGTAAAAGTATAAGAAACATTGTTATTTCTTTTAATGGACACTGTGAGCAAAATAAATTCCTCTATAACATAAAGCACGAAGAAACTTGCCATATTTAACCGAGGATTTCCTAGCTGCATTCCATAAAGTGGGTAAATTGTCAGTTTCCAATTTTGTCTGGGAGTCTGAGCCAAGAGGAAAATTTGAAGAATCCGGAATATTTGTTTCACCAGATGAAAGTTCCATGCCCTTGGCCAAATCTGAGGAACGAGGAACTTGCTTAGTATTATTGCTGACTTCTTCTACATTGTAACCCTCTCTTAATAGGTAAGTTTCCTTGGCAGATAAACCCTACAAGACAAAAACAACTGACTAATGACAAGCTAAACATTTTTTTGTCCTGCTGATGCTATGATCTCAATTTAGATAGTGGACAATGGAAATTGCAAGACCAAGAAACAATCCAACAAAGCAACAAACCTCCATATATTTGAGCTTAAAATATTTTCGGCATCACTAATATGGTAAAATGCATTTTTTATATAATCTTCGATGGTTGTTTTATACTCGATACTTTCTTAGCCTACACTAATGCAAAAAATATAGGCTCCAAGATTACATGTGTAAACGGTCCTTGTAATGAAGCAAATATATATAATTACGGATTGCAAATGGTTACGCACACTCAAGATATTCATCTATGCTTATTTCTATGAAGGTAATCTAGACTTGTCCATAATGACCAATCAACACTTACATCTTACAAATAGACTTCTCGATCGTGTTCCGAAGATATGCATAACTCAGAATGCTATAGCAATAAATATAAGTGTCTATCATAGAAGTGGCCAAAAATCAATTCAGCCAAAAATTGCCGTGAGAGCTTGTCAAACTACTTTGTCAGAAGAACATATGCATGACACTGAAAGACTTTTGCATGTAAAAAATAATAATAATAATAAATAAATAAATAAATTGCTGAACAAACAGAGGTTGAACATAGTTTAAAATTGTCATTAAAAATCACAAGGTCTCATCGTACATCCACAAATGAATGGCTGTCAAATAAAAGCAATTTAGCCCCAAAATGATGAGCAAGCGCCTTTGCAAGTATCTCTTGATATATATCAGATCCTAAAAAACAAATATGAACATGTTACAAGGTTCAAACTTGGCGTCAATAAAGCATTTATAGAGTGAGTGAAATTATGCAAACAAATATCTAAACAATAAGAGACCTGCTGGACCAGTAAGTAAGATTCTGGGGTTCAGATTTGGAAACTCGGAAATACATTTAACTTGACCCTTGCGCTTCAGGTGTACATATGAAGCAGCAATCAGCACATTTTTTGTGTTCTCGCTGCAAGTTGGATAAAATAAAAGCATTCAGAAATTAACAGAATGCCTAAACAAAAGAATGCACATTTTGTTGTCCAGTATTTTTAAATTGGAGACAGATATAGTAGCAACTAGTCAACTGGCACTAGTGCTGGACAAAACTCCCGAATCGAACCGAATCAAGAGGTTCATCTTAAATTAAATATCCGAACAGGTATTTGAATCGAAAATCGAGGGATTCAGTTCAATTCTCAATTCTAGATCAAGAACAAAAAATCGAATAAGAATCGAATTTCCCTAATTTTTTAAATTTATTTATTTTAAATAAGCCAAAATATTTTTTTTAAATAAATTTACTAACTAGTTAATTTAGCTTAAATTCAAAAATATGATTTTATTATTTTTAATTTTCAGTCCAAACCCAACTTAATCAAATTGATCTAAGTTTTACCCAAATATGTTATTCTACCGTAGCGTCGTTTCTACCATTGTGGAGAAATCGAATTTTTTCTTCTCGACAACACCTCTTTTAATTATTGTGAGCTCGCTATCTTTTTATTTCTATGATTTTAACAATCAAATTTATGAAAAACTCAGCAAAGAAATATGCAAAAGATACATAAAATTGAACTACGTTATTTTGTAAGAGCCAAGGCTGAACATGTCATTTGTTGAATTAATGTAGTTTTGTAAATATTAAAAAAATTTAATTATAAGATTGAACATTTCATTTGTTAAATTGAACCCGAATGGTTACACAATTAAATTTAGGCCCCACGATTCTACTTACTAAATACTCGAAAATTTCGAGTCCAATTCCATTCTCGTTAGAATCGAACTGAGTTGAACCATGTCTAGCCCTAACTGGCACAGACGTGATAATTTGTCCAATGCAGACATGGCTCTCTAAACAATTTCAAATAACAACACTAAAACCAATTCCATGTATAATAGGATCCATCATTTAGCTGACCTCAAATAGTATGGGAAGTTATCGAATGAAACTTCGAGGCTTTGTCCATCAAGAATTGTTGCAAGTATGTCTTCTCTAAGTGCTGATTTTCTCAAGGACTTCCCAGCTCGAGACGCCGGAATTGAGTACTGAACCCAGTCTCTTTCTTCCACGACCTGTTTCAGATATTTTTACTCAATAAATAAGAACACAATATTCAATATCAATTATTATTTTAAAAGCTGTCTGAAGCTTATGCCTTGAGGTGCACATTTCACGTGAGGCTTTCATCTAACTCCTAGAAAACTTACAACTTCAATACAATTTGTTAAGGCTTATGCCTCAATTTACTGAGGCTTGCTAAAAGCCAAGCCTTAAGGCAACTTAAGGTGAGGACTCATTCGTCTTGCCCTTCTTGGAATTTTTATTAATGGCTTCAACTTTCTGTGATGTTCCTTTTATAGCCTAACACTATTACAAGTAGGGTACAATGACAAAGAATGATAAGAAACTCATAGGGGAAGATGATAAGCGACTCAAATATGTTGATGATTCCCTCAAAACTATACCATTAGTAGTGATGACATAATAGAATTCTATATTGTTCTACTTCTAGTAGTAATGGACTACAATGTTGTTACAAGAATTTGAACTTACTATATGCTAATATAATGAACTATTTTATGTTTGTGTTGCAAGTTAGACTTTTAATTTTATTAGTTCGTTTTAAATTGGATTCATGGTTTATCATTTTATATATTCTTTTGAAATAATTCGCAGGTCTAGTCTTGAGGCTTGTGCCTCACCTTACAGAGGTGAGGGGTCCTAGGGCTTTTTAAAATTTTCATATTAATGATTACGGGCAAAGCAAATTATTCCTCCAAAATATTTAAGTTGCCTGCCTCTGTGCCAGTCTAAATGGCTGTCAAGAGAGAGGACCTTGCTAGCAGCTTCATTCCCTGAATTTGTAGTCAAATTGATTTCTTGCCCATCCAGATCATCTTCATTGACAATAGGAGGTAGCTCGTTCTCTCGGTAAACTTTAGTAACAACCTGAGATGAAGGCTTCAGACGTGATACATCTTGCCTCGAGTTTGAAAGAGATGCCAAAATTGAAGCGCCAGCTACAGCTGACACATCTCCTGCTCGTCTTTCGGAATGAATTAACTTTCCTAAGCTCTGAACATCTGGTGGAGGTGTCTTGATTACATGGTCATCGGGCTGTACTTGGAAAATCTTTATGAATAAAATTAAGGATACTCCACGCGGACAAAGAAAACAAAACATAAGTTAGAAAGAATATGAAAATGAAAGTCAACAAGTAACTACAGCAAACAAATAAGAAGGATACATAAGCATGATTCCCAAGAAACCCAAAGATCACCTCATCCCCTGAATTGAGCTCACAAGTAGTGTTTTTCTTAATCATCTTTCCATTTACTTGCACACATCCTTTGCTACCCCGGCTTTCAAGAACTGCAACAGATTTCCCCTCGCGCTGATCATTTTCCACAAACAATTAGTGCTCAAATGGGATGTTGACATTAAGAAATTCAACTGAATGCAAACTCACTGCATGTGAAGAAAACCACATGCTGTGTTCATTAACATGTAACAACGCTTGGCCACATTCATTGGAAGTAAAGGATAAATATATATTTAAAAAGATTCGCTGTGATTTCAGAAACTTTATAATATCTGAAAAACAAGAAAGAAGATTTTGCAGCCAAGTCCAAATTGAAGCGATACCTGGGTAAGCCTTATGAAACACAAAATTGCACTAATGGTTTGATCTGGGATCGAAAGATTGGCCCGTTTGCTAGACCCCACAGAGAAATTCGTAGTACAAAATGAAACAGTTGGGTTCTGCAATCAAACAACAAAAGCATTTTCTCGTTCAAATTCAACACCCCCTCAAAATAGATATCAAAATTCAGCATTCAGAATACAAAAATGATAAATGAAGACTCGCCAACTTTATACCAAAAACAATTAAAAATCTAGTTAAAGGATAATGAATTACCTTTGGGAATTCACTGAGAAGCCTGTACCAAAGCCAGGTTGTTTTGCGACCTTGATGCTGTTTCCAGGAAGTGGACGAGCTCCTTGCCTTGTCAACTATAGCCGGCGTGGTCCCTGAATTTCCAAAACAAGAAACCAAAAAAATAACCGCCACGTTTTCTGCATTTTACGAGCACATACAAAGAAAAAGAATTTGTTTAATTTCAAAAATTAAATAAACTCTAGCCTTCTGCAACTATGGGAGTGGCATCAGAGACGGAGGCTGCGGCCGGAAGTTCTAGTGCTGGATCGGTGGAGCTGTTATCATTGGGATTCTCTACCGGCGGAGTTGATTTCTCCGACGCTTTTGAATTGTTATCAATACAATTACTACTCTCGCCCTATAAAGAAAAAGGATAAAAAAGAGGGAATTATTTAAAATCAACGGTCCAAGTTAAACAATTCAGAAATTGCGAAAATTATAGAGAGAGAGTGCCTTTTGACGCTTCGGTGATGAAGACTCCGACGGGGAAGATGATTTATTATTTTTATTGTTCTTGATATTATTGTTATTATTATTCGACGGCTGAGATCCATTTCGCCTCGTCGACACCATCTCTGTTTTCTCCGGCTCTTTCCCTTCGAATGTATAGAGAGAGTGGAGAGATAAAGAAACCAGTTTGTATGTATAGATTCCTGTGTATGCAACAGATAGTGGTGAATTGCGCGCTGGGTTGGCAATGAACAAGGTAGAGGGGGTTACAGTTGAAACTGTGGGCGTCGGGTAAGGGTATTTATAAAGAGTGAAGCCAGAAGGGGAAGCGCGCTTACGTTAGCTCTTTCCTTGTTATTCCACTAAGGTTACCCCAACCTTAAGGTCCCCCACTACCCCTATTTTAGAGTATCGTGAGAGAGGTAAATCTCATGTTATGCTTCTAAGGGTACAAGGTGAAAGGCTACTTGTACACTTGCACTTACCCAAGAGCCAAATCCATATTTCAAGATTCGAACCCTTGACGCAACAACTTCAAGCAAAATTGGATTTCTCCACCCTCCCCTTTTATCACTTGGAGATGTGCTTCCACTAATTTGCATAGCCACGACGTATAGGTTGGCATGGAGAGATACTGACATCTTCAACCGACTGTTTAACTAAGGGGGTTGTATTCAATTGAGATTTTTGAAAATTTTGATGAACTTTTTTTAAGTGGTGATTTTTGTAGATTTCGTGAATCTTTTAAAGATTTGTATGGAATTAGTGGAAATCTTTTATAGTCTTCTGTGAATTTTTATAAACTTTGGTGAAATTCAAAAGACTTTTAAAACTTTTTTTTGAAATAGAATTTACATGAATTTGGTTTGAGATTCTCACATACAAGGTATTAGTTCTCATAATTCCCCTTTTCCTTTCCCTTCTTCTTCCCATATAATTAAAAAAAATGAAAAAATAAAAATTTAAAACCTCAATTAAATAATTAATAATCAAAATTACACACACACACACACACACACACACACATATATATATATATAATAAACAATAAGAGAGAGAAACATATATATATATATATATATATATATATATATATATATATATATATATATATAAATTTAATTATAAATGTTTATAATTTAATAAAAAAAGTTTTTCTTCACAAAAAAAAGAATGAAAAAAGAAAAAAAAAAGTTACAAGAATTAATTTTAATTAAAAAAGTCATAGAAAATAGAGAGAAAGAAAAATAAATGGAATATATAATAGAAAAAAATTTAATTTTAACTATACGTGTCCATAGAAGGTTAAAGGAAGAAAGATTGATTTTTTTATTTTTTTTTTGTGAAAATCTTCCAAAATCTCGTGATTAATGAGAGACAAATTTTAAGATATTAAATGAGTACTTTCTACTTAAAAATTAGTATTCTAAAGACTTTTATAAAAGTTTCTAGAAGTCATTAAAATTTGAATACCTCAAAAGTTATAAAGACTTCTAAAAAATTTTAATTGAATACACCGTAATTTTTAGAGACTTTTTAAGAGTCTATAAAAGTCTTAATTTAATGCATCGTGACTTTTAGAGAGTCTCAAAAAATCTCAATTAAATACTTCTAAACTTTTTAAATCTCAAAAAATTATTGAAAGTCTCAATTGAATACACCCCCTTAAGATTCTCAAAATAATCAACATTTAAATAATTAAATACATTCAATGTATTTCGATTTTTAATGAAAGATAATAAAATAATCTAAATAAAAGTTAGTTAAAATAAAATATAGATACAATTAATGAATATTTTTTAAAGTAGTAAAATTAAATATTAAATAAAAGTGTTTATTGGAGTATTTCAAAATTTTAACTTTTTAAATTTATAAATACTTTTCAAATGATAGAATATGCTCTTTCAAAATATAATCTCTTGAAGATACTCTAAGATAGTACCTACCAAGTATTTTTAGTTGACGTTGGTATGGAGATTTAGCTCATGCTTGTCTTTCTTCTAAACAAATTATTTAAATTTTAATACTTATTTTTAATTATATATACACACTATAAAATATATTACAAGTAAATTTAGAATTATTTTACTTTTTAATCATATATATAGGAGATGATGCCCGAGGGGGAGAAAGAAGTGCTCGCTTTAGCGGCCTTCTTGTCATGTCACTAGTATATGCCGTCATGGTGTTTTGCTCATTTCTTGCTAGGAAAAAGGTAGAAAATTTGCAAATATGTGTTATTTTGTGTAAAGTATGTTGACGGCAGATTTTTTTAGAATAGATTGTGAAAATTAAATTTCTTTTATGAATGTTTGGTTAAGAAAATCAGTTGTACTATGTGTACAATTGGGGTGACAATTAGACAAGTAGGAGGGGGCCCACAATGAATAAAAAATCATGGATCTCCCCTCCTGTGAGTGCATTGTCAATCAGAGTTGTCAACCTCAATTGTACAAGAAGAATAATTCTAAGAAAATTATTATAGGAATATGTGATTGTAAATGAAATTTAAAAAGACTCTACCAAACATGGCGCAATAGAAATGGCAAATAAAAAAATTAAATATTGACATCATCACCCACTTTTTTCAATTAAATTTGCAAAAATGTGTTATTTTACGTAAAAATATGGCAAATAAAACAAAAATTTCACTTAAACTCGCAAAACTGTGTTGTTTTGTGTAACGAAATGACAAGATAAATAAAATGTTCACTTGACCACCAATTTTTTAGATTCGTAGTATCATGTTGAGTATTTTTGTGAAAATGAGCTCAAGGAGTTATTAGATAACGCCTCCCTTCGTAGTTGAGCAAAAGTCAACCCAGTCAACTGCTATAGAATACCAACGTAGCCTGGCTAGGGCAAGCGTATACTTATTCTTATCAAAATGAACATGTGAGATATTTGTTTTGTGATGATAAAAATAATGGTAACTATCATGCCATATGCATATTGGTAGTTGTCATACTTTTCTTGGTGTAGAGTTCATCAATTGACACTAAGGTCCTGTTTGATTGTGCTAAGTTTTCCATATTTTTAGGGTGTTTGATAGATTTTTTCTCCAGAAATTTGTTTTTTTGAGAACTTGCAATTTTCCATGTTTTCATGAAATTCGAATTCTCACCACATTGGTGAGAATTCGAATTCCAGCTACTGTAGCTATAATTTTATCATTATTATTTTTTTTTGGCAATAGAAACAAATTTTAAGAATTATTCTAAAAAAATATTTCCCTTTAATTGACAATTTTCATGTAAAACAAAGTCAAACGAATACCAAAAAATAGATGATTTTCTTGAATTTCTTGAATTTTTTTTTTTTTGGCAATGGAAATAAATTTCATCACCAATACCAGTAAAATTTATCACTTTAATTGACAATTTTCATGTAAAACAAAACCAAACGAATATCAAAAATACTTTTTATTTCAACATTTTCCACGTGGAAAATTATACCAATGAAACACAATAATTTACAATTTCCAAAAAAACAATTTTTAGGTAATTGAATTCACTGGAATTCGTTTTAAATTCAATTCAATTCCATCTTTACAATCAAACGGATCCTGATTGAAAATTCCATTTCAACATCAAAATTTTCCCAAGCACAAATATAAATCGTTGATCAGTCAATTTAGCAGATCAACATCATAGCAAGTTCATGTTAAAAAATTTGCTTACCACGTTGAAAAGATGTTAAATATTGTAACAGAGTTGATATTCGTAGCCAAATTGAATAAATATTTGTCAATTTTAAAATATTTGATAAATTGATGAATAAGTAAATAGTACTTGTAAAACTGAAAAACCGATGAATACAGATTGATTTGAATATAACAATAAACACGTGTCAAACATATTCTTGTAAAAAATCAGATGCTCACATGAATGTAACTAACAAGTCACATATAAATTATATCAAAATCATACATCTATACGAAGTCACAATCACACAATTTATAAATCACAATCATTTATCAGAATGGATCACAATCACATATCAACTATTTTTTCAATTTTTTTTTTTTTTTACAAACTTATTAATTTCAAAGATATATACTTACTATTATAGCTATGAAATTTTCCTTTTTCGAATTTCTATTTTGCCAAGTCACCAAAAGTAGTAGTCATGTTATTGAAAATCATTCACGTGAAACGATATCTATGAAGACTTTTATCTCATTTAGCAAACAACTTTACCATGTGATCCTTCAATTCACCAACAGACAATTGACATTTGATATTCTCTAAAGGACGAAGATTGATTGACAAAATTATCCATTTGCTGTTCTCCTTTTGGGGCATTGCAATCCGGATCGAGCTACATAGCCCATGTTAGTGACCACATGGTTGACATAATACACACATGGAAGGTTGAGATTATTTTATTCATGAAAGACTCACGTCGGCCATGTGAGGGTGCGGTCACCCAGAGTGTCAACAGCGCGAGTCGTTTGGCTTTTCCCTTGCAATCCTCCTCCATTTTTTCCCTTCTTAATCTTTTGTGATTTTAGTAAATTTATATAAAATTCTTAAAATTAATAAATTTGTTACTGTGTTAGAAGTAATAGATGAAACATCGGCAGAAATAGGCCAATTTTATACAAAATGGAAATTGAAATAATTATACGTCTTAGAAGTCGTTTATTGCTTTTGAGATGTATTGTCCAATTTGTTGTTTTACCCAGTTAATTATCGACAAATTATTTTTAAATTAACATTTCATCTTAAGTTTACCCTCATCAACTTCACCAATAACTTACCAAGTTGATGGCGTGTTGATTTAAAATGACATATAAATAATTAATTGGGTAAAGTGTAAATTGGACTGCAGATCTCAACTCCACTTATTGACCCATATTTGATCAATTTAAAGAAAGACAAAAACGTCTTCACATATTATCTCATTTCAAATAATTAAAATGATTAAAAAAATTAAAAAAAAAAAGAAATAAAAATTGATAAGTAAAAAGATTCGACAAAAAAAAAAAGGAAAAACTAATTCTTATTCTCCATCTATACCGCTGACGACCGTTCATTTAAAGAAAATATATTTAAATGATATAATAATATGCAAAAACCCTCTTGTCCTACTTTAAATGCACGTTTGGCTAGCAGCTACATGGGATTAACTATTTAAAAATGCTTTTTTTTAAAAAAAAAAAAAATAATAAATAAATAAATAAATAAATAAAATAAAAAATTTGAATATCAAACAAGTTCTGGACTTTAATGTTAGTCGAAAACTAGCCAATAATGGCAGGGCGCTGATGTAACGACATAGGAAGTTAGCCTATCGAA